TAGTGTGATGGTTGCATAACCTTGTGAATATACTAAAATCGTTGAATTGTACTCTTTAAATGGACGAATTTAATGGTATGTAAATAACATCTCAATAAAGTTGGTTTTTAAAAAAAATCTACCATCCCTGGGTAGTTAACACACTTGTGGAGGGGCGCACTCATCTGTAGGATGAGTTTTGGTGAGATTGTTTTTGTTTTTATATAATAAACGTGACCGAGTAATAGACTAATATATTTAAATAAAATAGATGTCTTGAAAATCATCACTGGCATTTAACCCAGAATGTACAATGGAAGATAACTAGAAGCCTACTTCAATTATAAAACCTAGACAGTGCTTTACTCTAATGATTTGCACATTCGCAAAGGAACCCTCAATCAAAATAGAAGTGAAGTCAATCCATTTACCTTATTTCACTGTAATGAGGAGCCACTGGCACTGTGGGACAGAAACCAACCATCAAGAGTAAACTAGACAAAGAACCTTTGTCTTAAGGTTCCCATTTGTGCAATGGATACATCTTTTCCATGCATGTGACCTTATTTCTCCTTCTGGATTGTAAACTGCTAAAGCGAGGGAGCGTGTCCTGTATTTTTTCTCTGTCCCCTGGAGCATCCCTCTAGCTCAGAGTTGAGTGCACAGTAGGTCACCAAGCCACACTGGCCAGTTTTGGTTGGCTGGTTTCCTTCCAGTTGGTGAAGGCAGAGGGGCAGAGTTAGGTGGGTAAGAAAACTTAAGCTTCCCCATCGGCCCACATTGCATTCCACCTGAATAGGTGCTATTCTCTGCTCTTTGCGGAAATTTCTGGAGTTCCCCAGTCATGCACAAATATTGGTAAGCTATAGAACAGGAAAGAGTGCTGTGCTCTGTGCCTGCGGACCGTGTGTCATTTATTACTTATATCCACTGAAGAGAAGAAGTGCAGCTCTAACGGACAGGCCTATTTTAAAATGAACTGGTAAACTTTTATAGAACTTCTTCCCATTTTGGGGTCACAGAGCAAGGTTGTCAGAATCAGCATGGCGAAAGCAACAAGGGTCTGCTCTGTGTGTCAAGTTCGCACACAATGTTTGACCCACAGCAGGTACTCAGGGATGGGTTATTGAATGAAAGAATCAATCTCAGTGTGAATGACAAAGAAGAGAAATTTAAGGGTGAGCCCTGTGGATATCTGAGAACTGGGGTATTTGGACCTCAGCTCTGTTTATATTTTCTTGCTGAGGAAAGGGTGAGGAGTAAAGGGAAAAAACAAAAACTCAGAAGCATTTTAAAGAATAAAGAGTTACTGGGACAAGGTCCTGACTCTCAACTGAAAAAAAAAAAATGACAATTCGTTAAATGATCCCTACTCACCAAAAGGTTGGCGGTTCAAACCCACCCAGAGGCACCTAGGATGTAAGGCCTGGTGATCTGCTTCCAAAAGGTCTCAGCCTTGAAAATCCTATGCAGTGCAGTTCTACTCTGAAACACATGGGGTTGCTATGAGTTGGAATCAACTCAATGGCAACTAACAACAACTTAGAAATAGGTGGCGCAAATGGTTTGTGCTCAACTGCTAACCTAAAGGCTGGCGATTCGAATCCACCCAGCAGTACCGCAGAAGAAAAGGCCTGGTGATCTGCTTCATAAAGATTACAGCTAAAAAACTCTATGGAGCCGTTGTAACACATGGGGTCACCATGAGCTGGAATCAACTCAACAGTAACTAACAACAGCAACAATTTAGAAATAATCTTGGGGTTTGGAAAATGACCTTGGGATTATGTTTTCAAGGTCCTCCAGGATACTGTGAAATGTAACTAAATAACAAAAGTCACAAGATGGGGAACCGGGAATCATGAAAGCAGGTACTCTGCTAGTTACCGTGATGGCGTAGAGAGGCGCATGTTTCAAACCAGGAATTCTGACTCTACTTTTGTGAGTTTAGTCAGGTCTTTCCACCTTGGGAGGTCATTGGCGAAGCGCAGAGGCCTCCGCCTCCCTGCCCTCTTTGTTTATTTTCTGAATATACATAAATACGCAATGACCAAGGACAAGACATTCAACTAATTTCTAATACCTGGAATGAACCTAAAAAGGAAGGCCTAGAACTTCTGAGTTGATGGGTACTTCAGACTTGAGAGAGCCGTGATAGAGTATTATTTCAAAGATTGAGAGAGTATATAAAACTTACATTTGGATGACATTTTAAAGATTTGCCTTTAATTTGTCCTTGTTTAAGCATATCGCTACTCCTACCAGAGCTATATTTAGAAATTTAAAATTCAGTGAGTATATTGAGTCTTTGGGAGTTTCTGACTCTGAGTTGGATTAGAGTCCAGTGGTACTCCGTGTGTTAATCCATATTTAAACTAGGGTGACCTTACATCCCGATTTTCCTGGGACAGTCCTGGTTTATACCTGTTGTCCCAGCAGAATTATTAATAGCATCCACTCTACCTTCCAAATCGTCCCAGTGTGAAAGATTAAATTATACAATCACTCTTTGACTCCTAACAAATTTTGAGAATTTGCCACACTTTCTTATTCATTGTTGCAATTTGTAGCTATTTTATACAGTTCCTGAGACCCTTCCTTCTTTCGTTGCCATTTTAAGCATTGTTTGAACTTTGAAGGAAAGCCAGTGGCAAGACGAAGAAGACCGCATCCACACAAATACAGTTGTTAGCTAACAACACATGTGAATTAACATGTGCTGCTAATTGATAATGATTTTTTTTTTATAAATCTGGTTGTATTTCAATTATATTAGGAGTTCAGTTGCATGATTAAGGATTTAATTAATGATAATGGTTGAATAGCACATACCTTCGTAGCCAAAGAGAAGTAATAACAAGAAGCCTTCCACCTTGCGTGGCATTTTCCCCTTGTCCTGGCCGAAGCGCTTCCTGACTAAAATGCAGAGCTTCCCCAAGAGCAGGGGATTAACTTGAGCACTGGCCTCATTAAGCATCTTATTCCATTTAGTTCTTAGGGTTTGGGCTTAGCCCCATCAAGTTAACCCACAGAGTTACCTTCCTCAACAAGGAAGTCTCAGAGAAGATGCTAATGCCAACTGAGGTTGGTTTAGCCAAGGAAGATAGTGGTTTTATTCTATCTTTAAATGTAAGGGAAGCAGTGGAGGGAAATAGAAACTAGAATTAGAAGGCGCAGGACTTAATCCTTTCTCTGCCATCATCTTGTTGGGGAGTGACCTTGAGCAATTTCCTGCCAGCAAGCACTCTCCAGTTGCTGTCCAAGGGATTCCCACGCTATAGGGCAGACTAGAACCACCCCCATCGGGTTTCCAAGGACCGGCTGTTGGATTTGAACTGCCTACCTTTTAGTTAGCAGCTGAGCTCTTAACCACTGCACCACCGGGGCTACCACAAGCACTAGCATTCTTGAATTCTCTGAAAATGACATAGATTCACCTCTTAGGAAGCAATTTAGTATCATGTTCCTACCTATTCATTCAGTAACATACTAAATTTGGAGGGGAACAGTTACCCACTAAGATGTACACTGCTGTGTTCCTTCTAATAACAGAAGATTGGAAACAATCTAAATGGCCAAGACTAGGAGATTGGTTTAAGTAAATTATGAGAGGCAGCACAGCACTTGAGAGCACAGATTCTCAGCCCCACTGGGTGCAAATCCCAGTTCTACCACTTCTTACTTGCTATGTGACCTTGGACAAGTTACTTAACTTTTCTGGGCCTCAATTTTCTCGTCTGTAAAAACAGTGATAATAATTCCTACATCATAGAGCTATCTTGAGAATTATATCGGATGGTATATGCAAAATGCTTACAACAGTGCTTGACCTAATTGTTGTTGTGTGCCTTATAGTCAATTCTGACTCATAGTGACCTTATATGACAGAGGAGAACTGCCCCCATAGTGTTTCCTAGGCTGTAATTCTGACGAAAGGAGCCCTGGTGGGGCAGTGGTTAAAGCACTCTGCTGCTGACTAAAAAAGGTCAGCAGTTGGAACCCAGTAGCTCTGAGAGAGAAAGATGTGGTAGTCGATTTCCGTAAAGATTACATCCTTGGAAACCTTATGGGGCCGTTCTACTCGGCCCTACAGGGTCACTATGAGTCCAAATTGACTCCACCGCAGTGGGTTTGGTTTTAATCTTTAAGAGAGTAGATTGCCAGGTCTTTTCTCCCGTGGAGCTGCTGGGTGGGTTCGAACCGGCGACTTTTCGGTTAGCAGCCGAGCGTTTTGACACAATTAGCTACTGAGCCCTGGTGGTACAGTGGTTAAGAGCTTGGCTACTAACGATAAGCTCGGCAGTTGGAATCCACCTGCTGCTGCTTGGAAACCCTAAGGGGGCGGTTCTACTCTGTTCTGTAGGGTCGCTATGAGTTGGAATCGCCTCGACAGCAATAATTTATTTGTTTATTTTTTTACATAGCCATTAAGAATAAAGTTGATGAAGTAATTGTAATAACACGGACAATCGTGTTATACTCGAGTTAGAAAAGGATGCAAATGTATACACCGTATGAGCAAAACTATATGGACAAATGTATATAAAGACTGGGTTTCTCCTTCCTCTTTTAGTTCTTTGCCATCACCATACCATCCCACCCCTAGCCCACACCCTCAGGCCCCACAGGGCCCCAAACACCTTCCCTTGGTTCCTCTTGTCAAAGATAAAACTGCCAGCATTAAAAATAATAATCATAAAAAGCCGCTTCAAATTAAACTTTCAAATAAAGAGGAGCAAAAAGGAACCAGAGAAACGTTTCAACCAGCACTTATTGGATGTCTACAAGCCTGACACTTGTTCTATTCTGTGTGATGAGATTCCTCATTAAACAGACTAATGTCTATTCAACAAACCCTACTGTTATATTAAAAAGAAGAGAACGGTGGGTTTTTTTTTTCCTGCTCTATATTTTAGAGTTTAATGAGAAATGTCAGAACCTTTAATAATTCAACTGCAATGAAAGCGATGTTCTCTTGCCATGCTTTAGCTGGAGGCTTTTGGGAACCGTCCTGTCCTGACTTGCCCGGGTCGTCTTCTTCCCACGAGCGGCCGATTGTCCCAGGCCGCCCGAGAGAACTAGGAGGCGAGGGTGACTCGGCCCGGCCCCCTCCCTCGGTTGTTTTGCAGGCCGGGCGATGGCGGCCGCGATCTGGAGCGATCGGAGGAGAGGGTATCTGTCATTTCGCTTCTGCGATGAAAACGTAGCAAAAAATAAAAAAAGAAGGGAGCAATAAAATCACTTTATCTTTGCTCTTCAGTTTTTGCCCCTAAATATCAAGGGATACATTAAAAACGAGGATTGTACACTCTAACGGTGGTTCCGCTGGGGCTCGAACCCAGGGCCTTCTGCGTGTAAAGCAGACGTGATAACCGCTACACTACGGAACCTTCACGAGCCACACAATTGTCATTAGTTTATTCATGGTCATACATCAGACCTACTTCTCTGCCGTGGCCCCGCCCCTCCAACGGAGCCCCACCCTCGCAGTGCCTCGCCCCGCCTCCCCGTACCGTCTGTGAGGCAAAGTGACGGAGGTCCCCGCCCCGGCCCCGGCTTGAGGGCCGCTCCCGTTCCCTGCCACAAGGCTCGCGGCCCTTGTGACCTGGGCAAGGCCCAGGCCCCTGGTTAGCCGCGCGCACCGCCCCCTAGTCACCCCTCCCCAACCTTTCCCTCAGCCCCCGGCGCGTTCAGGCAGTTCCCCTCAGCCGCGAGGGACCCGCGCTTTCCACATTCTACCCCTGGCACACCGAGCCTCGCGGCCCCGGACCCTTGCCCGCATCGAAAGGCAAGCCGTCGGCGCTTCCGGCTGCACTGGAGTCCGGAGCAGGGGGGACAGGTGCGCCACTTGGAGCCAAAGATTGAGGCAGCGCAGGTTTCAGGGGCGGCCGGGGGCAGTACTTTTATTATCGGAGTTTATTTTGCCAGGGGTTGAAAAAGTGTCGGGTTAGTCGCCGGCCTCCGAAACTTCCCTGACCGTTTCCACAGCGCTCCCCCTCGCCGAAGCCGCAGAGCATCTGATAATTGCAGGGGCTGGTTTGGTCTTGTCTGTGGTAACGGGCTCCCAGCCCCGGGGTGGGGAGGCGGTGTGGTGTAGACAGGCCAAGCCCCCATTATGGCTGCAGGTGGATGAAGCAATTTGAGGGGCCCAGTGCAAAAGGAAAATGCCAGACCCTTGTTCATAAGTTATTAAGAATTTCAGGACGGTGCCAGCAGAGCATTAACTCAGCGTGCGGGGAGCGGCCCCTGCCGCCGCTGCTGTGCTTGCGGAAGGTGTGTAGTCTGGAGCGGGTGCCGGGCCCTCCCTTACAGAGGGGTCTCCTGGACGGTCTCCCTTCTTAGTTTTCGTCGTCAATGTCATGTAGGAAAGCAGCCCCCTCAGCCGACTCCTGTCTTCCTGGGAAGGTCCCTGGAAGAAACAGGTGTGCGGAAGGAGCACTCTTCCAGGGGTCAAGATCTGGATTCTAGTCGTGTCTTGACTACTCACTAGCTATGTGCTTTTGAGCTAGTCAGTTCACCTGCCAGGCCTCAATGACCTCCTTTGTGAAATGCCTGGGTTGGACTAGACACTCCCCCTTTCACCTCTGGGTCTAAATATTATGTCTGCCTCCCAGGTGGGAAAATGGAGGCAGTCATCTGCCATGTAATTCTTCCACAGAAACTGTTAGAGGCAGGTCTGCAGCTAAAGCTTGGGTTTTCTAGTACCAGGTTTCCTGTGTCCTCAGCACCCTGTAAGATTCATCAAGGTCTCCTTCCAGTCTGCCTTTTTGTTCATGCATTCCGAGAGGCCACTTGAGCGCTTGAGGCTTAGATTGTGAGCCATGAGATGACCCTTCCGGAGCCACTAGCCAAAGGACGAATTCGGAAAAGCTCCATGTTTCCTGCTGGACAGTGAGCTGTAATGACTCCCAGAAAGCTCCATAATAACTACATCCCACTTGTTTTCAAACCCCTGTCGGTCCAATGCTGCCAAGAATTGGGCCTAAAATTACACTCGCCAGGTGTGTTCTGGTTTGTGTCTCTAGCGAGTGCTCTGCTTTCCCGCCAGCTCTTGTTTGCCTTTGTTAAAAGGGTGGGTTTGCCATGCTTTGGACAAGTCTCACGCTTACATTCCATGTAGAAAAGAAACTGGTGCACCACTAGCGCGTGAAACATAGGTTTCTGCCTTTAGTGAAAAAGATTTTGTTCCTGTTTCTCCATTATGACAAGGAGGGAGACTTTTGTTTCTTTCCCCTCACCCCAAGATGTAGTCATAATCACTATTATTGGTAAAGTACAATATGGTTTACTTTCACATACCTTCCTGTGCAACAGCCTTATGAGGTAGCCGTGGTAGGTATTATTATCTCCATTTTTCAGCTGAAGAAGTTGAGGCCGACGAGTTTGAATGCCTTGTCTGAGACTGTTCAGCTGGTGAGTGGCAGGGCTTGGCTCACACTCAGTCTTCTGATAATTAAGTGATTATGGGTGGCCACAGTCCATAAAGGTGATACCTTGTTCCCATAAGAGTAGCTTCGGTCTGTTGTAATATTTTGTATGCATACCAGTGAGGAAATGGAGACTTTTAAAAAATGCTTATCTTTTGTAATTTTTAAACAGAATCCTCAAAAGTAGAAGCAAAGAGCCCGCTGGAAATGACTGTTAATGACTTTCACTTTTTTCACATCATCGGCACAACTGTGGATGACTTTCACCTTTTAAACCATAGTTTTGCCTGGCACTTCAGTCTGTTCAGTCAGATTTGTGAGGCCCATTACCTATAAGCATCTGAACAGCTATAAGAAAAATACATACAGAAACAAATAAATATCGACATTACATTCAAACTTGTTGAGACCTCTGATGTCACAGTTATTAAAGTGTTGCTCCCCAGTGCTTGGCTTCACTGATGGAGGGTATCTGTGATGGTTAATTTTATGTGTCAACTTGGCTAGGCTATGGTGGTCAAATACTAGTCTAGTTGCTGTTATGAAGTAGTTACATGTGATTAAATCAGTTGGCCTCAAGTAAAAGCCTATTACTTTCCATAACGTGGCCGGACCTCAGTCAACCAGTTGAAGACCTTAAGAGTAAAAAGGGAATTTCCCAGGATGTGTTCTGCTTCCAGGTTATAAATAGACATTTTGCCAGAATACTCTTACCCCACAATCGCGTGAGCCCGTACCTTGAAGTAAATCAGTCAATCAAGCTCTCTCTTGATCTCTCTTTCTCTCTTTATATATGTCACTTGTTCTGTTTCTCTAGAGAACCCTAGGACAGTATCTCAACCTAAGAAACCACAGCCTCAGACACTGAGCTCAGTTAAGAAGCTTAATTTACCTGATTTCCTTTAGAAACTATCATACACGGTCTTTCAGTGAGTACTTGAGTACTTACTAAGAAAAGTTAGCCATTACCCTAGTATGACAGAGCTCACTTTATCTCCCCCTTTTTGCAGCTTGTCATGTTCAAAACATCTTGGAACTACCCTGCTGTGATGGATATTTGTTGCTTTTTGCCCACCTACCTTTTCATAGTCCCTTACATCCTCTCTGTCTTCCTGCCCAGCTCAGGTTCAGTGGTCAGTCATTTTTATCACTCACTTGTTGCCCCTTTGTTGCTTCCTTGTACTTGTTGGCAAAACCACAACCTCTGTCAAAACCAGTTTTCTCCCTACTCCACCCATGAATTTGGCCCAAGAAAAACACATATCCAGGCTGAAATGTCCCTTGAGAGGGGGAATCATGGGGGCTATTTGGCAATGTCTAGAGACACTTTTGGTGGAGGAGGGGTGCTACTGGCATCTAATGGGTTGAGGCCAGGGATGCTTCTACAGTGCACAGAACAGCCCCCACAACAAAGAATTACCTGGCTCCCAATGTCATTAGTGCCAAGGTAGAAACCCTGCTCGAGATGAATTGTCCACATTCCTGTCTAAGTCCAACCTCTCCACTTGTGCACTAGATCCCACCTGCTCTTGCCTACTCAAGGAAATCACTCCAGCAATTCTCCCCCCTAGCTCCCACATCATTACTTTCTACCTCTTTACTGGATCATTCCAATCGGCAAATGAACATGTTATTTCTCTCTTCATTAAAATAATAAAATCTTAATCCCATTTCCCCCTCTAGCTACTCCTATTTCTCTGCTTTCCTTTATAGGAAAACTCTTAGAGATTTGTCTACAGCTGCTTTCACCAGTTCCTCTCCTCCCATTGACTCTTGCTCCCACCGTTCCTCCAAAACTCCTCTGATCGAGATCACCCATGACCTCCACTTCGCTAAATCAAATAGCCCTCACGCCTCAGCTGATCAACAGTGTTTGAAACAGTTGATTCCTCCTTTCTTCTTGAAGCATTTTTCTCACTTGGCTTCTAGGATACCACCCTCCCCTGATTTTTGTTTCCTGCCTCACTGCTTACTCCTCCTCAGTCACCTTTGCTGGATCCTCATCTCTTGGACCGTTAAACATGGGTGTACCGCAGGGCTCAGTCTTTGAACTTCTCTATTCATTCTTACCAATCAGTGAGAATGAGTGACCTCATTCAGTCTAATGGCCTTAAATACTGTTTATAACCTAGATGACTGCCAAATTTCTATCTCTAGTCCAGGCTTTTCTCCTGAACTCCAAACCTATCTACTCAACATCTCCACTTAGATGTCTAATAGACATCTCCAATATGTCATGTCTATATCTAAACTCCTGCTCTCCACCTCCTAAATCTGCCCTTCTCAGTCTTCCTTATTTCAGATAATGGCAACTTCATCTTTCCAGTTATTTAGGCTCCAAATCTTAGAATCGTACTTGAGTCTTCTGGTTTTCTCATACTCCAAATCTGATCTCACTAGCATAGACTATTGGCTCCACCTTTAAGATCTATCTAGAGTCTGATCGCTTTCTACCTTCTCCCCTGTTACCACCCTCATCAAAAACACCATCACTTTTTGCCTGTATTATTGCCAATAGCCTGATATCCTGGCCTCCTGGCTTCTGCCCTTTGTTCCCTACAGGCTATTCTCTACACAGTAGCCAGAGTGATCCTTTAAAAACCTAAGTAAGATCTTGTAACTCCTCTGCTCAAACCCCTTCAATGGCTCCCCATCTTGACTAGGATGAACGCCAAAACCTTACAGTGGCCTACAAGACCCGGCATGATCCATCCCCCTTTGCCATAACTGCTCTGATTATATACATCCTACCACTTTGCCTTTTCTTTTACTCCACTCCAGCCACACTTGCCTCCTTGCTCTTCTTCAAACACACGCAGCCACTTCTGCCTCAGAACCTTTGCATCTGCTGTTCTCTCAGCCTTGGATGCTCTTCCCCAGGTTACCCATGACTTGCTCCCTCACCTTGTTCAGGTATTTGTCCAAATATCTTCTCAGTGAGGCCTTTCCTAACTGATCCATTTAAAATTGCTATTATCCCTTTCCTTTTATCCCAGAAATTCAGTATCACCCTTTCCTGCTTTATTTTTCTCTATAGCATTTATCGCCATCTAAGTTTCTAGATATTTACTTATTTATTTTGTTGACTGTCTGTCCCCCACAGTCCCCAACTAGAATGAAAGTTCCATGAGGGCATGGATTTTGTTTCTTTCATTGCTATATTCCACAGAGCCCAAATCGTGCCCAGAACATAGTAAATGCTCAATAAATAAATACTGAATGAATTGGTTTAGGGTTGGGGATGATCAAGCCAAGTCAATCAGTTCCAGTGAGACCTAATCCTGGGACTTCTTGAGAAGAGACATTTTCTTGTTCACCCTGGACTTGAACTTGAGGTAATACAGAGGCTGGAGGTTCTGCTGCCATCTTACTATTGCACTGTATTAGACAGCACTCTTAGTTGCATGTAACAGAACCGTCTTGCTCCAAATATTCACTCTTGACCAAGTGACTTGCTTTGGCCAATTAAATATGGGCAGAAATGATGTGCATCACTTCCAAGCAAAAGCTTGACGAACCAGCTCGTAGTTTACTATTTCTATTTTTGCCCCTTTGCTATAAGAACAGCAGTGCCCCAGAGAGAGGTCGGCCTGACTCTTGGATGGAAGACCATGTGTTACAGAACTGCAACCAATCTGCGATAGACATGTAACAGGAGTGAAAAATAAACCTTTATTATTGTAAGCCACTAAGATTTTGGGTTTGTTACCAAAGCATAACATCGCCTAAGCTGATTCACTATTCCCACAGTTTACGAAGTCAATGAGTTTATTAATGGATATTAGGTGGCTCACAGAATCTCTGAGAAGACCTTGGGGACTCCAAAGCCAGGAACAATGCCTTTACTCTTTTCACCAGTTGCTGAGGGACTGCCCTGTGTTCTAGTCCAGCACAGTTTTGGGCAGTGAGGGGAGTTTAAAATATATATATATGGCATGACCCCATCTCAAGGAGTTTATAAACATTAGCCCAAAGGACTAATTTATTCCAAGATGTCAGTGGATGACAATGGCATGATGTGAGTCTCCTAATTTAGGATGTTACTGAATTTTAATTAGGACCCTATCTTCTCTCTCTTAAAGGAGAAACTCAAAAGAGGAGAAGGCAGGTGGGACAGGTGATCTGCAAAAGCCTGTCTGATAGTAAAGAAGGCTTCCTGTGGTGTTCCTCTTAAGACCAGCTATCTATAACCTCCAAAATCACTTACAATCGTGTTCAATGAGATTCAATTTTATAGACATAGCCACTCTAGAGAGACATTTTCTTGCTTACCTTGGACTTGAACTTGAGCTAATACAATCTAGAGAGATAGCCAATCTAGAGAATTGATTATTGATTACTGTTTTTTCTTTTGAAAGGGTGACTTGGATAGAAATTTATATTATTATTGATTATGTTGTTGTTAGCTACCATTGAGTCAGTTCCCCGACTCATGTCTACCCAGATGTTACAGAGTAGAACCGCTCCATAGGGTTTTCTTGGCTTGGATCAGCTCAAAATACTTTGTCTCCCCCTCTTTTATTCATGTGTCTTGAGATACCCCTACTTTCAAGCCACTCCCCTAGGGCTTCGTAAGTGAGCCCAGGACAGTTTGGCTACTCTCATTCCTAAAGAACCCCACTTAAAAGGAAATGTCTGATAGCAGCATCCAGCCAATGCTAATTGGCAACGGAAATGAAATTGGCTACTCTCTACTTTCACAACACTTCATGTCTTATTTAGATTTCCAAGTGGATTCAATTGTGCATGCAATAAGACTTGCCTGTAAGCAGCTCCCCATAGTCTGTTGGGAAGATTTCAAGAGTGATGCAGTTGCAGGACTAAATCACTGAACTGAAGGGCTTAGGGCCATAGTCTCGGGGGACATCTAGGTCAATTGGCATAACACAGTCCATTAACACAATGTTCTACATCCTTCCTTGGTGAGTAGCGACTAGGGTGTTAAAAGCTTGCGAATGGCCATCTAAGAGACAACTACTGGCCTCTTCCTGTCTGGAGTGGAGAAAATTAAAGACTCAAGGAAATAATTAGTCCAAAGGATTAATGGACCACATGAACAACAGCCTCCACCAGCCTGAGACCAGAAGAGCTAGATGGTGCCCAGCTACCACTACTGACTGCTCTGACCAGGATCACAATAGAAGGTCCTGGACAGAGCGGGAGAATAATATTGAACAAACTTCAAAAAAAAAAAAAAAAAAAAGACCAGACTTACTTGTCTGATAGAGACTGGTGGGACCCCCGAGACTATGGCCCTTAGATACCCTCAAAATTGGAACTGAAACCACTCCTGGAGATCACCTTACAGCCAAACAGTAGACAAGCCTATAAAGTGAACAATAACACCTGTGAGGAAGGTGTACCTCAGAACAATCAACTGTAGGAGACCAAAAGGGCAGCATTTGCCCAAAAGCAAAGTTCAGAAGACAGGAAGGGGCAAGAAAGCTGGACGGATGGAAACGGGGAACCCGAGGAGGAAGCGGGGAGAGTGTTGACGTATTGAGGGGATTGCAACCGATGTCATGAAACAAGCTGTGTATAAATTGCAGAATGGGAAACTAATTTGCTCTGTAAGCTTTCATCTAAACCACAATAAAATGTTTTAAAAAAATCATGTGTTTTTGTTAGTGATTTTAAGTATTTGTGATCCTTTCGATACAATTAGGGTACAGTCCGAAGGCTACGTTCGATAACAAAACCGAAACAAATTGGTAGGTTTTTGAACTCAGTTAGAGGCTGTCTGCCAAATGATCAGGCTGCCATGACAACTGTCTGTGTAATATTATTTCAATAATAGTCAAAGATTTCCACTGTCTGCCTCTGAGTCCAACGTTCATTCTAAAACCCAGATGCACATTTATTCTCAAAGGAGTTCTGGACATGTTTACAAAAAACAAACAAAACGTTTTCAACTAGTTGTTTACTTTCTTTTGAAAGAGAAATTTGAATGAATTCATACAATTGCAAATTGATTATCGATTGCTGTTTTTTTCTTTTGGAAGGGTGACTTGGATACAGATTTATATTATAATTGATTATATTGTTCTTAGCTACCATTGAGCCGTTCCCTGACTCATGGCTACCCCAGATGTTGCAGAGTAGAACTGCTCCATAGGGTTTTCTTGGCTGTAATCTTTGCAGAAGCAGTCTACCAGGCCTTTTGTTCTGGAGCTGCTGGGTGGGTTCAAACTGCCAACCTTTAGGTTAACAGCTGATTGCACTACCTAGGTGTCATGGTTTGAATTATGTCCCCCCAAAAATGTGTATCAATTTGGCTGGGCCACGATTCCCAGAATTGTGTGGTTGGCGTCCATTTTATAATTGTAATTTTATGTTAAAGAGGATTAGGGTGGGATTGTAACACCACCTTTACCCAGGTCACTTCCCTGATCCAATGTAAAGGGAGTTTCCCTGGGGTGTGGCCTGCACTACCTTTTAAAAGGAAAGGGAAGCAAGCAGAGAGTTGGGGACCTCATACCATCAAGAAAGCAGTGCTGGGAGCAGAGCTCGTCCTTTGGACCGGGTCCCTGCGCAGAGAAGCTCCTAGTCCAGGGAACACTGATAAGAAGTAGGCCGACAGAGAGAGAAAGCCTTCCCCTGGAGCTGATGCCCTGAATTTGGACCTTTAGCCTACTTTACTGTGAAGAAATAAACCTCTCTTTGTTAAAACCATCCACTTGTGGTATTTCTGTTGAAGCAGCACTAGATGACTGAGACAGTAGGCTCCTAGATTTTATGAAATAGATGCACTAGACCAAAGTTCGGAAAATTTCCCTCTAGGTATGTAGTCCGTAAGTTAAAATTATTCTTCTCTTCATCTAACAGTATCAGAAGGAATCTTGTGATGGCAAGTGAAGCAAGATCCAGCTCCAACTGATTTAGCAAAACCAGTTTCCAGGGACTCTGGTTTGAAAACTCCAGAGGTAAGATTTGATCCAGAGACTATAAGGTAATCAGGGCTCCAGCTCAATTTCCCTCCCCTTCTCAATGCATCAGGTTCACCTCTGGACTGGCTCTTCTCATGGGGACACAGCTTTGCTCAGAGCACCATGCTTGGGGGAGAAGAGCGAGTCTATGCCCCAGCGTTCTCTCCACAAGTCCTGAGGTGCACTCATATTGGCTGTCTTTAGCTCCGTGCTCACCCTTGAACATTCTCTTTTGCCAGGAGAAGAGGATGTGCTAACTGCCTTCGGCCCAAATTATGGGCCCATCCCTGCACAATCACAGTTGCTTGGGGAGTGCGCTACGCTACCTGGAGTAAGCTATTCAGGGCCTACCCTTAGAGTGGAGCGTGATGTCAATCCCATGCAAACCACGTGGCTTAAAATAGGGAGAAGGTTGATTTTAGAAAAGAAAATTGGGGTACTATTACAAGGAGGTTAGGGAACTATTTGCTGGTCACTTTGTTAGGGAACAGAACTGGGCAAATAATAATAGCTAACATTTTTTGAATACTAACTGAGCCAAGGAGCCCTGGTGGAGTAGCAGTTAAGTGCTTGGCTGTTAACTGAAAGGTCGGCAGTTTGAACCCACCAGCTGCTCTGTGGGAGAAAGATGTGGCAGTCTGCTGCTTCTGTAAAATTACAGTTTGGGAAACCCTATGGGGCAGTTCTACTCTGTCCTATAGGGTCGCTAAGAGTCGGAATAGACTCAACAACAATGAGTTTAACTATGAGCCAGGCACTGTTCAAACTGCTTTACAACTCTATTGCTTAGAGACTATGTCTGGCTGCATATAATAAGATAAATGAAATAGCAGGGGCTTCACACAGAGGGGAAGGTTTTTTCCTCACATGATGTGAAGCCAGGAAGTGGCAGCTTCACAGTGTCATCCATGTCTCAGGCTCTTCCTTTGATGCTTCTGCTGTCACTGTTCTCAGTGTGAGGCTCTCTTCCTAAAGCTCACAAGATGGCTACTCCTTCTCCAGGCATTGTGTCCCGGTTCCAGGCAGAGATAGGGAAGGGCAAAGAGGAAAAGGCTCACGTCCACTGAGTCTATTCCTTTCTTATCAGGAAAACAATAGCTTTCCTGGAAGCTTCATCCAGTAGATTTCTGCTCACGTCTCATTGGCCAGAACTATGTCACATGAACACCCCTAGCTGCAAGGGAGCGTAGGAAATCAAGTTTTGTTGGCTGAGCACACCACACCCGTTGCCTTCAAGTAGATTTCCTACTCATAGCAACCTTATAGGACAGAGTAGAGATTCCAACTCATAGCGACCCTTTAGGATAGAATAGAACTGCCCCGTAGGATTTCCAAGGCTGTAAATCTTTACAGAAGCAGACTGCCACATCTTTCTCCCACTGAGCAGCTGGTGGGTTCAAACCACTGACCTTTTGGTTAGCAGCTGAGCACGTAACCACTGTGCCACCAGGGCTCCTTAGCGCATTGCCACCTAGAACAAAATTGGGATTTTATTCGTAAGGAAGAAGGGGAGAATGGATATTGGTTAGGCACTTATCACTGGCTGCCAGGATATACTAATTCATTTATTCCTCACTTCAACCCAGTGAGGTTGGCACTATTACTATCCCGGTTTTATAAATGAGGGAAGGGCACAGAGCGGTTCCAGAGAGGTTCCGTGATTTGCCCAGGTCACACACAACTGTTAACCCGTGGAGCTGGAATATGAACCCAAGCAATCTGACTCTAGAGCCCAATTCTATTCCGTTGCTCCCAGACACAGCCTGACCCACAGGCGAGACCACGTCTCTTCTCCAAGATGCAGGTTCACTCGGGACATGGGAGCTACTATTTGCTTAACACTTCATAGTTTACGAAGAATTTTCCACTTTTGTTATTCCATTTAAATATTATTACCCTCATTTTTAAAATGAGCAAACTGAGGCTCAGAAGTTATGTAAGATGCCTGTGGTCCCCAGGTTGTAAGTGGCAGAGCTGATGTTTCATTGAAATAACAAGAATTTTCACATAGCCACACCAGCAGGAACGTGGTGTGTCTGCAGGAGCATGTTCAGTAGAAAGTAACAGAGACCTTAAAAAGGGGCTGTTTTTGACCGAAATCTTAAAACGTAAAAAATAAATAAATAAATAAAATACATCTCATACAATTGAGAATTTAATAAGGTATGCAAAATATTAATAATAATAATAGCTAAAATGTATAAAACTCTTCTATGCACCAGAACTTATGCTAAGCATTTTGCCTTATTATCGCTTTGAATCTTCACAAGCTCCTCATAAGACAGATGCTATTTGAGTCACTGTTTCCAAACAGGAAAACTGACACAATAAGAGGTTAAGAAATTTGTCTAAGGTCACATCACTAATGGAATAGTTGACTCTAGAGCCTCCTCTTAACTACTATGCATTTGCAGTAACTAGCTCAAAATACTGCAGTTCTTAAAGAATGTGTAGAATGAATGGCTTACAATTCCAGTTAGTACCCTCATCTACTCCTAAGAGTAGTTGTGCAACACTTTGAGGGTAGACATCCTAAGAACTTCTTTAACCTACCTAATATATGTCTCAGAGATTAAAACAATGACTCTGCTAATAAAGAAAACAAGAGGGGGCTGTTTTTATCTCACATTTTAAAATAATCTACAGCTTCATTTAAAAAATAAAAGTATTAATTACAAGTAGCTCTCGCCTACCTATTAAAGTAAAAGATTCCTTGAACATATAGGAATTTCTTTTCCTTAGTTACTTCAGGTTAATTTATGTTACTTTTCTTTAAAACTGCTTTGTGAATTGGCCTTTCCACTAAGTAAGAATGACATTCCCTTCATGGGGGTGAATTAGTGAAGTTTCTCTACATTACTGATACCTCAGTTTGCTCATCATTGTTATTTCTCTCATTGTTTATAAATATTTAAACTCTTTAGCTTATGGCATTACTTTATTTACATATTCCAACATTCTTTTGTTTTGGCGAAACTACTGAATAGACCAGAGAAATCACAAGGACATTGTATGATATAGTTTGACTTTAAAATTCTTGGAAGAACAGACTGAAAAAGAAATGGCGATTTAAAAAACTAGAAATCATAGTGTGTTGTACGGCAGTGCCACTCCAAGTATGCATCAGCATCTCCTGGGAGCTTATTGGAAATACAAATTCATGGGCCCCATCCCAGATCTATTGAATCAAAATCTCCATGGGTGGGGCACAGGAATTTTGCCTTAACAAGATCCCCAGGTGATCTGTAAGCACGTTAAAGCTGGAGAAGCACTGTTTTAGACGGTAATGCATTTATGTAAGAGACTCACAGATTCTGCACTCTTTTGAATATTGGGGAAAATACTAACTCCAGCTTTAGTAAGTTAAGAAAAACAGTCGCTATTGAGTCGATTCTGACTCATGGCGACCCCATGTCTGTCAGAGTAGAATAGTACTCTGTAGGGTTTTCAGTGGATGTAGATTGCCAGGCCTTTCTTCTGAGGCACCTCTGGGTAGACTCGAACCTCCAACCTTTCGGTTAGCAGCCAAGAACATTAACTGTTTGCACCACCCAGGGACTCCACTAGTTAATTGTGTGTGTTGTGTGCCGTTGAGTCGAACTCTGACTCCTAGCGACCCTATAGGACAGAATAGAACTGCCCCATAGGGTTTCCAAGGCTGTAATTTTTATGGAAGCAGACTGCCACATCTTTCTTCCACAGAGCGACTGGTGGGTTCAAACTGCTGACCTTTTGGTTGGCAGCCGAGTGCTTTAACCACCATGGCTCCTTGCCTAGTTAATTAAGACCTATATTAAACCCCAGATTCTCCTTTGAAAGGCCACAAATCATAGACTACTGTTCTCAGCTCTGGGTCACTAAGCCTTAACTCAAGTGTGATGGCACAGGGCCAGGTGATGTTTTGTTCTGTGATATATAAGGTCGCCATGAGTCAGAGCCAACCAACAACAACAGCAACGTTTGACTCCATCCCCCTATCAACAAGTCACCTAATTGTCAGTTCAAAGATTTCTGCCTCAGAGAAGCCTTTGCTGACATCCTACCGACTGTCAAATGCGTACTTCTCCTTTGCAATTTCACATTTATTTGTATGCTTATTTGATTAATGTTTACTCTTCCCAATGGGTTTTGAAAAGAAAGCCATGGATCTCTCCCAGGCCTTGTTTTAACTAATAGTTTCTATGTTCCTCCAAGAAAACAAACTATTCTTTCTTTTCCATGTTCATGAGCATGGACATGGTTGACAGGGAGGCAATGGTAGCAGAAAGAAAGCTTGAAGAACCTAGAATTTGCCTTTGCAATAAGCAAGAAGTGATTCTCTCATCCAGGTTGTATAAGTTTATATTCTAGTTGGCAGGTATAATATCTGCATCCAACACTGTGGTGTTGCCAAGGCAACCTATTGATGAATCATCCTAGAATCTTTACCCCTGAAAGATTCCAGAGAGGGCTGAGGAGTCCTCTCCAAGTAAGACCTCTACACCTGACTATGGATTGATTGTGTCCTGAGCCTGAAGATCAAGCTGAAAGATTCAACAACCAGCAAAGTGAACATCGAGGCATCTATTTTCCTTGAAACCGTGTGAAGGGTAAGGACACTTCATGGCCCAAATTAACTGACTGAAATCTAGGTAGGCATGGAATCATATGATCGAAAGTTAACCTTCTTCCTCTGTTTGTTTAGTTATTTGGCCCAACTCTTGTGGACTTTAGGTTTTATGTATGGAGTTTATAATACTTTAACGTAGATTATATTGGAGCTATCTTTATAGGGTAGAATTGGGTCATCTTGATGTAATGAATAGGGTAATGGCCACAGATTCACAAGCCTGTGACGTTGTGGAGGCCACCTAACCTCTCTGGCCTGGTTTCCTCACCAAAAAATGAAGATTTCTGAGGGCCTTTCTGAACAAGCCCAAGGGACCAGAGTATCTTATCATATCACAGTCTCACCTGTTACAGAGCTCTGGACCAAGAACCTGGTGATGGTCTTGCAAAAGGACTCCACTGTATGTGCCTAGATTAATTTTGTCCAATTCCCAGTGTTTTGACATGGTGAGCGAGTTGTGTAAACCTATATACATATATATCTTTTTGTTTTTATCTTGGAATGTCATATTATAGCTCCTTCAGAAAGAAAGTAAGAAGAACTAAGAAATTACCATTGGTCTGCTAGCTGTCAAATTGAGATACGTGAAAAACGCAAGCACATACAAGCTAAAGGAACATTGTGGCAACATTTAAAAATATCACAGCTCCCTAAGTAAGAAGTAATCCTGATAAGCCTGTTTGAAATTCGTGCACTACGTCTGTAACCCTGAAAGCCTGAATTGTACATTACCAAGGTAAATTGCCTCTATGTAGTAGTTAGAGATAACGGTATATGTGGATTGTATGGTAATACTTGGTTTCTAGATACCTCTCTCTCCTGGGCCTCTTACTTTCCAGATTGCTCCTTTTTTAGTCTCCTTTGTTTGCTCCTTTCTCCTCCTCAACTCCCTTTAAGTGTCTCTATTCCCCAGGGTTCTGCTTTTGTTCCTACTACCTTCTTAGTCTACAAGCTCTCCCTGGCTATTTTAATTTCTCCAGTCACTCTGGCTGCGGTGGGTAACTTGATGCTCTTCTTAATCTGAATCTCCAGACCTAACTTATTGCCTGGATTCTAAACCCAGGCTGCCTATGGGATTTTTCAACAGTGAGGTCTGACAGACACTCAAATTTAGCACAGCCCTGATTAAACTCGTTATTTTTCTCCACTATACACATTTGTCCCCCTTTGTGTTCTACACTCGTACCCTTTAATACCCTATTTCAATTAATAGCATCACCTAGTAGACTGAAAAACTGTAAGAGGGCAGGGATCATGTTTGTCTGGTTGATCATTGTATCCCCAGCACCTAGCATAGTGACTGGCACATGATAGATACCCAGTAAGTGTTGTTGGATAAATGAATGATTCGTCTATTATTCCAAAAAGGAGCCCTGGTGGCACAATGGTTAAGCGCTCAGCTGCTAACCTAAAGGTCCATGGTTTGAACCCACCAGTGGCTCTGCGGGAGAAATACCTGGAGATCTGCTCCTGTAAAGATTGCTGTTGTTAGGTGCCATCGAGTTGGTTCCAACTCATAGTGACCCTATGTACAACAGAACAAAACACTGCCCAGTTCTGTGTCATCCTCACAATCATTATGCTTGAGCCCATTGTTGCAGCCACTGTGTCAATCCATCTCATTGAGGGTCTTTCTCTTTTTCGGCTCACCATCTACTTTACCAAGTATGATGTCCTTCTCCAGGGACTGGTTCCTCCTGATAACATGTCCAAAGTATGTGAGATGTTGTCTAGCCATTCTTTCTTCTAAGGAGCATTCTGGCTGTGCTTCTTCCAAGACAGATTTGTTCGTTCTTCTGGCAGTCCATGGTGTATTCAATATTCTTCACCAACACCACAGTTCAAAGGCATCATTTTTCCTTTGGTCTTCCTTATTCATTGTCCAGCTTTCATATGCATATGAAGCAATTGAAAATACCATGGCTTGGGTCAGGTGCACCTTAATCCTTACTGTAAAGATTTCAGCCTAGGAAACACTATGGGGCAGTTCTACTCTGTCACATGGGGTTGCTATGATTCAAAATCAACTTGATGGCACACAACAATTATTCCAACCTAGAAACCTCGGAATCATTCTTGATGCCTCTCTCTCCCTTGTTCCCCATACCCAGTCTGCCTCCAAGAGGTTCTGTGGGGTTTATTATATAAAAGACTCCCACTGGGCCCCTCGTTGATCTGAAGTGCCATGGCCTTAATTCAGCCCTGATCATCTATCTCCTGATTAATGCAGCAGCCTCCTCACTGGTCTTCCTACTGCTGGCTGTTTCCCAGTTCATCACCATATGACCCCCAGAGTGATCTTCCTAAAGCCTGAATCTAATCAGATTATCCTCAGGCTCCCTTTACTCAGAGTTTGCCATCTGCCAGCCTCAAACTGCATCCAGCCTACAGATGCATCCATGGAGACTATACAGTGTTTGGAAAAAATGTGAATTCCTGTGTTTTATTGATTCTAAGTTGCATACATTTTTTTTCTTCACATTTTAGCACTGAAATTGGGACATGTCTTAAAATTGATAGAGTGTCATAGTTTGATTTTTAACGTTTTTCTTTCTTACTGGTACACAAAATGATGCATCTTGTAAATCAGTGGCATCTTAAATTTGCTAAAATATACTCGTTGCTGACATTTAAAAATAGGGAGATTTTTATATAAAGATATGTTCAGCTTCTCTTGAAAAATTACATCTGGCAACACAGCCAGGATTTTGATAGCAGCCCTAAGATGGAGCTACCGGTAAGCATCAGCTGCCTCATTTAGGCAGAAGCTCATAGTTTCCACCCAGGCTGCTTCATTCATTTACAGGATCTGCCCCAGCCCATATAAGCATTTGAAATCACAGTCCCCTAGCTAACAGGCTTAAGTCCAAATTCTTTGTCATAATTTATAAGAATGATCACAGTTTGCACCAACCTATCTCCCCAGGTTCTTATCCCCATCCTCCGTTCCATATACCCTCTCTCCTCCAGTCGCATGAAACATCACTCAAATATAACATGTCCTCTCAGACTTTCCCCATGTTCTCTGGAATGCCTTTCCCCACCTTTTATGCTCCAGGAAACATTTCCTGATGTTCACAGGCAGAGCTAATTTCCTTCTGGGCTCCAGGAGTGTGAGGGCATTGCTCCATACCTATACCTACGGTATTGAGATTATTTGTGTACATGCCTGTGTCCCTCATTACACTTTGAACTTGGTAGGGGAATGAATCATAATGTATTCATCTGTGTATGCCCGTCTCATAGCCGGTCCGTGTTCAGTAAGTATCTGCTGAGTAAAGAAAGCATGCATGGGTTGTATTTTCTGACTGGGATCTCTATTTTGGGGTTTTTGCCCATGAATAGACAGCAAAAAAGCTAAAAAGAAGTCAGAGGGAAGGACAAGTTTTTTCCTTAGTGTTTTTGGTTTTTGGCCGAAGATTTTGCCCTGGCTGTGATTTAGGAAAGTTCATGGCAGTCATAGCCAGCCTGTAGGGCCTTTAGCATCTACAGGCCCAGTGATACCAAACCAGAGTCAGCTCTGTGAAGCTTGCTTTTTTTTTTTTTCCTTAACTTTTAAATCAGCATATAGTAGAATTGATTTTTGTTGTTGTGTACAGTTCTGTGAATTTTAACACACAGATAGATTCATGTGACTATCACCACAATCGGGATATAGAACATCACCCCCCAAACAGAGGGGTACTTTTTTCTACCTTGTCATAGTATAATTGCAGCATTATAACCAGAAATGCAATTCATTCTGATTTTTATTTCACCTCCTTGCTAAGTATTGTAAAATATGTATATTAATGAGAACACCCTCCTCTCACCCCCACCTCTTTTTTTCTGGCTAACTCCTGCTCAAGCTTCAGGTCTCAGTTTAGGCATCCCTTTGTCTAGGAAGCCTTCTTTGGTCCCCTTTCTGCAATAAGGACTCTTTCTCTGTGCTCCCATAGTATTCTCTAGTATTAGCTTTCATTTATCCATGTAATAAATATTTATCGAGTGCCTCCTACATGCCTGGCACTGAAGTAGGTATCTGAAGTTTATATTCCAATACTGGAGACAAAAAATAAACACATTATTGAATGAGTAAATACATAGTATAAAATCAAGTAGGGAAAAGAGCTACAAAGAAAACTTTCCAGTTGCCAGTCAAGTTGATTCTGGCTCATGGTGGCCCCATGTGTGTCAGGGTAGAACTTTGTTCCATAGGGTTTTCAGTGGCTCATTTTTCAGAAGTAGATCACCAGGGCTTTCTTCCAAGGTGACTCTAGGTGGACTTGAACCGCCAGCCTTTCAGTTAGCAGCTGAGTGCCTTAACCCTTTGCATCACCCAGGGACTCCACAAAGAAAACTAAAGCAGGACAAAAGGACATAGAGTGATAGGAATGCTGTTATAGATGGGGGCAGTCAAGGAGGACTTCTCTGAGGAGATGACATTTTGAGCAGAGACCTAAGTGAAGTGATGGGGAGTGGCCATGTGTTTAGCTGGAGGAAGAGCACTCTAGGCAGAAGAGACTGGGAGTGCAAAGGCCCTGAGGTTGGCACGTACTTGGCATGTTTTGTTTACTTGTGTGTGTTTGCCCTACCTAACAACGTCTATCTTGTTTACCATTTGTGTCCCTGTCCCTCAGCACAGTGCCTGCCACATAGGAAGTGCTCAATAAATATTATTTGAATTGAATGGAAGAGGATAAGCATCTGAATTAAGGTTGATTTGGTATTGCCATGGCCTTTTCTGGGGGAAATTGAGCTCCTATTTGGCTGTTTTCATGTGATGATGTGCCAATTGAGAGAAAAACTGACCCACTTTGAGCATTATGGGTATAAAAATCTGTTCATGAGTAGGTTTAGAACTACTAACATTACTTTGCCCATTATTTTTTCTTTTTTTTCAGGTTGGAGGAACAAATCCCTGCTTTACTGGAAGAAAACCAGAGCGCATCTGAGAAGAGGCAGGTACCTTAAATTTGCAAATACACAAGGTGCTGACTGAGGTAGTATACCTATTGCCGTCGAGTTGATTCCGACTCATAGCGACCCTATAGGACAGGGTAGAGCTACCCTGTAGATTTCCAAGGAACAGCTGGTAGATTCAAGCTCTTGACCTTTTGGTTAGCAACTGAGCTCTTAACCACTGCGCCACCAGGGTAGTATAGTGTAATGATAATAAGCAAGTGTTCTAGAGTCAAAGTGCCTGACTTCAAATCCCAGCTCTGCCATACATTTGCTATTTGACTTTGAGCTCTAGTTTCTCTGTGCTGTAGTTTCCTAATGTGTAAATGGGGATCATAATAGTAGATAAGAAGCCCTGGTGGGCTTAGTGGTTAAGAACTTGGTTGCTAACCAAAAGATTGGCAGTTCGAATCCACCAGGTGCTCCTTGGAAACCCTATGGGGCAGTTCTACTCTGTCCTATAGGGTCACTATAAGTCGGAATTGACTCGATGGTAATGGCGTTTTTTGGAATAGTAGATACCTCATAGGATGCTGTGTGTGTTAAATAAGATTAACAAGTGCTTAGAACAGGCAGTGCTCAATGAATGTTATTATCATTGCTGTTATTTATTCATATGTGTCAATGCTGGTTCATTTAACAATGGGAGACTGGGTTTAGGATTCCTTGTGGCGCTAAAAGTAAAATTTTGGCATTCTCTGTGCAATGGAAAAACTGCTAAAGTTAATTGATTTTAAGCAAATCACATAAAGGGCTCAGCCAATCCAATTCCTGGTCCAGAGGCTGGCCATTAAAATAACTACCTGAAGCCCAAGTTGCTTCTCTCCTTTCCTTTCTTTCTGCGATTAAACAATTATTATTTTTATTTTTTTTATTGTACTTTAGATGAAGATTTACAGAACAAATAGTTTCTCATTAAACAATTAGTACACATATTGTTTTATGACAGTGGTTAACAACCCCATGACATGTCAACACTGTCCCTTCTCAACCTT